CCATGCGCCCCAGAACAAAGTTTTGCAGAAAGCAACAAGCATTGAACTTTTATCTAGCATGTGATACAGTGAGTATTGGATGAAATTCGGCACTGTTAGAATTTTATTCAATCCCGACCAAGTGCTGATTCGCCGTTCAACAATTAAGCTTTTTTGCGAAAAAGATCTCTAATAGTAGAATACTGTTTAGCCTGTTCAACCTACCTACAATGTGATATTGAACGGTTTCCGGTCAAAACGTTTTCGTGAAGAATTTCAAAACCTCCCGTCAACTTTTCTCCTTCATCTTACCAATTCAGTGATATCGACCAGCTATCAGTAGTAACTGTATCTAATAAATTGAATAGTTTTTATACTCATCCTTGCATGTTTTAATCGATGTAGGTCTACGAGTACAGTTTACTAGCTCCTGGACTCGACCACAGTCACATGTTCCGATTCGGCTACTATGTTCTATGTTCTCACGTAATAATTTCATTTGACAATCCTTAGCGATATTTTATTATAAGTTTGTCTATTTAATTAAAAAAAACAATTGTGGCAATATTATGATTTGTTCATAATATGAATAAAAGAGTATAGTCTGCTAATCTGAATAGAATCTATGCCTACTGATAATGCTCTTGGATTCGAACTAAGAGATGTAATCGAATTATGCCGAATAACTTGAAATGTCTATCCAAGAATAAAGGCCTTTACCGCGAACCGCGAACCCTTAGTTTGCGAGCAGAAACTATTGCCTCTTAACTAAACAGTTTTCCATTAGACGTGAACGTAACACAATAAATGTTTGGGTGGATGATCCAAATGGGAAAAGATCACTGCTATCAGTGTGGCCTCGCAGCTCAGATGGTGGAGTGTGCGCTGTAAAAAATTCGTAGGCGGCCCCCATACTTGGGTTCGAATCCCACGGAGACTACCGAACACATAGAACATGACCGATAGAATGATGGAACTAAAGAACTCCCCATGAGCGTGACTTACAACATAAGATCAATATGTGGCTCTTTGACTCTGGGAATTCGGGTGGACCAGATCAATAACATGTTTAATCAGTGGATATAGTACTTTACTTTTTCACTCCCGATTTTCCACTTATTTCGTCCGCATTTACTTATGATTGACGAGAGAGAAAAAATCGATTTTTCGCAGGTTTGAATTTCGTAAAAATAATCACAATAATGATTGTCCCCCATATGTCCAGTTTATAGCCAGGGTAAAATTAGTCTTCAGAAAGAGGTTTAAGGCGAATTGAGGACCGTTCGAATAAACCAGAACAATGGAAAAGTGGCATGGTGGCGGTATGATATGACCACCTCGTTGCCGGTTAACCATACTGTTAGATTACACCCGTACGATTACTATACTGACCATGAATTTTGTTATGGGATAGTTTTAGTGAGAACTTCTGCTTAGTGATTGTTGTATCTTCTTAAAAGGAGCGTTGATCTAATTCAAATTTAACAATAAAGCTTTGTCGAAACCTAGGATAGAAACGCAACCTCAACAATCGGTTGTTTTTGTTCTAGTTAACTGAAAAATGGAATGAGGATGAGGTTTATGGAATTTCAAATCTTTTTGTTTTTATTCTATTCTATTCTCTCGAATAGATTCAACGAGCAAAAATCTGGTTTCCTGAGCATGGTCTGCTGGGCCGTGTACGACCAGGACACAAACCGGGGCCCGGATCCACATCACGTGTCCAACCGGGCCACAGTCGACTTGCCCTGATCCCATCCAGCTTAAGCAAACCGCACACTTCGTCGTGTCCACCGCATTCGTATGAGCAACAGGAGCAGCAGCAGCAGCAGCAGCAGCACCAACATCATCAGTCAGCCCAATACCACCACCATCACCACCACCACCAATTCGGTGATTCAGAACGTCTCAGCCTGATGTGGTATTTGTCCGGGGACACGAGCGAGTATAAACCTTCGATTTATCTGCCAACCAGTTCCGATATCGGTTCACCATCGATGAACAAACGGCCACGTCGAAACGAAGTTTCCACTTTTCTCTCTTCCGCCAATGTAAGCAACACGAGCGCCGTCACCCGCCCTGTCGACACGTCCGGTGTGGGCCTAGTTAGTGTAAGTGATGAACGTGAGAACGCCGCCCTCTCCACCATACCACTACCCCCCCCTACCCCATACCACCTGGTGGTCTGTCTACTCCTCCCCCACCCCACCCGCAACTTTTCTCACATGTAATTCTTTTGATTTTGTATGTTCGTATTTCTGTGGTTGTATGGTCCTATGCACGTATGTGTCTGTGTTTGAGCATACTTGTGTAACATAACATGTACTACCAGTCGGCGTAGTTGCATCTAACACCGGGAAACATGTGTGTGTGTGTGTGTGTGTGTGTGGGTGTGTGCATGTGTAATCAATATTATTCTTGTAATGGTTCTGATGATGACTTCATGCTGTTATTATTCGGTAGGCAGATTGTGAGAAAATTGCTTTGACTATTGTTTGTTTGCGGATGAGGGCGGTGACTTCTGTAATCGTTATAGGTCCCCCAATAATAAAAGAACCAGTGACAGAGGGCGTACTTCTGTTTGATCATCAAGCAAGGCCTGAACCTATATTCTAGTAAGAAGTAAGGGACGATAAAGTACTTTTCATTTCAGTTCATATAGCCGTTAACTTTGCACCTTTTCGCGCGGCGGTTTTGGTTACTGTCTTTTGGCTAATAATTTGGATGAAGGAGTAGGAGAAAGAAGTAAACTGGTAAACTGGAAGCGGTACCAGGATAAATTTACAGAATAGAACAAAATTTGCAACAAAAAATTGATTAGGTGCACAAGGATCGCTATTTATGAAACTCATCCATATCGGAGATTAGGCTGATCCCATTCGTCCCCGACCGAGAAGGCTAAAGTGACCGCCTGTATGCCCAGTTTCCGTTATCAGGATTTTATACCTTCATTCCGTATCGCACTTAATATTGCTGGCCGAGAACTTCTGTCTATTCACATGCCTACTGCGTCCCAGACATGCTAATTACTAGGCTGAAGAACTTGCTCCAGCGCGTGACCCCAGACATCATTTAAACTCTTTGTCTAACCTCGTTGTTTTCTGTCCGGTTGCTCCACCAGACCTTAGCAATGTGGCCCCAGAAAGCAATACTCGAACACCAATGCTTTGTCCTTGTCCTGTGTTATACAAGAGGACCTGCAATGCAAGTATATATGCTTACACAAACTATACAAATACAAATACACACAATCGTTCGGACAGCTGAAGTATAAACTTAACCCTTCTTGGACAATCGAATGTCGCAGCGAAGTCAAGGGGGTTTCAATTTGGAAACACCAATCGACCTCTCCATATACATGCTGACTCGTCATTCGTGATGGGTTTTTACCAGGTGATATCCAGCTACC